TCCAATTGATACTAGCGAACATAGAACTCGACTCGAAATAAAGCTAGAAGGTTGAAATCTTGCAGGCACGATATTATGCTAAATACATACTAGCCACAATTTTTGGACCCCATCGGTTCACTCCATACCCCCGACCCAAAAATCCGGGATTTTTAGCCCTATAAATTCTTTCCTTTTTTATATCTCGAGATCTTGGAAAGCTGAGGCGCCCAAACTTTGACTACACAAACAGTGTAAGACCTAAACACTACACAAAAAGGGCCAGCCTTATCGGCTGAGTCTGAGGCTCATTGTGAATATGGGGCAAAACATCGCTTATGGAGTAAAGATGGCGAAAAGCCAAGGGCACCATTGGATTCGTCGACAAAATTTAGCCCATATATGTCCTATTCGTTTTTCTCCATATTGAGTTAGAAAGCTGTATTTTCACAAAAAAAACGTGATCAGCGTTTTGGTACGTATTGACCCAAGAGAAGTGACAGTACCATATATTGCACGAAACTTGGCGAACTCATAACTCGGTTCAAAATAAAGCTAGAGGGCTCAAATTTTGCAGACATACTACCATGCTGACTTCTTACTATCCACAATTTTTTGGACCTCATCAGCTCACTCCATACCCCCGAGCTAAAAATCCGGAATTTTTAATTTTATAAATTCTTTTCTTTTTCATATCTCGAGTTCTTGGAAAGCTGATTCGCCCAAATTTTGACTACACAAACAGTGTAAAACCTAAACATTATACAAAAAGGGCCAGCCTTATCGGCTGAGTCTGGCCCGTTGTGAATATGGGGCAAAACGTCGCTTGCGGAGTAAAGATTGCGAAAAGCCAAGGGTACCATTGGATTCGTCGGCAAAATTTAGCCCATATATGCCCTTTTCGTTTTTTTCCATATTGAGTTAGAAAGCTGTATTTTTTCACAAGAGCTCAAGTCTAGGATTTTGATACGTACTGACTCAAGAGAAAGTTAGTCTAATATGGAATTCATTCGTATATATGGCTAGTCTGCGGATTTTTTTATAATTCTTTTTTATATCACCGTTTCTAGTACCATATGAATATCACCGCATTAAGTATGCAAATTGATGCGTAGTAACATTGCTGGTAATCAGCATTGAAACCATTCGCGTTGTTGATAGCCACTGTAAAAGATGTTGTAGTAAGCTGTGCCCCTCGTGCACTATGCTCCATCTGACTTTTCAGTGGACGTATAGGTACTCTTGCACTTACAAGGTTTGAAGCAGTTTAAGAGCAGACATTATCTCCGTGATTTTGTGTCAGTCGTGTCGTGCGTATGTCGTTGTTTCAAACCTCGTTTTTCGCAACACCTCGTTCATCGTTTCTTTTAATAATCTTTGATTGTAACAAGTCGTGCGCGAACTGGAACTTCACAAAATATCACCTATGCCTATTGCATATGCTGATTTCTTCGTATGTTTTGATGCATTTTCTTGCGAAAGTTCACTGTAAATCTCTTACAGGACTCCTTTATGTCTACTTTACTTTTACACAATTGTTTTCAGATGACAAATGTTTTCTATTAACTCAACTACATTTATCATCTTCGCACTTCTCGTCGACCTTATTTCGACGAAGCCACTCAAAAGAGGTTTCACGAAAATAGATTTCATGGTGAAATAGAGGGATTCGCAGCTAAACATGAGCGGGAATGTGGCACTGTGTTATTAGGTATGCCTACCAACAGTTATGCTGAGAAGTTCATTTATGTTGCTTCAAAAAGATTATTATCATGAAACGCTTACTGTAGGATTTTACCAAAGGGTGATTGTCATTTTTATATTTAGTAATGACTTAAGAACTGGACACCACATCTTATCACTTTGAACGCGTAGAGATGCTGGATCTTCATACTGTTCTTTCTCAATTACATTGTTGACCTGTCACTGTGCGTTAATCTATGACGTGACGAGACAAAAATGCAAGAATTCGTGAAATAAAAGGTAAAAGCGGCCGTCTTCCTGAACGGTCGTAGCTTACGCTAACAAAAAGTCTGGAAAACTAATCTGGTTGGAAATAAAGGGCGCAGCAAAGTGCCTTATTCCGTAACACGCATAGATTGCGAACAATTATACATCTTAATTTTGTATCCTTATGTAGATATACTAAAACTGTCGCACATAGATTATGGAAGCTACAAAGATGGAAGAATGTTTGACAAAGTGCTAAAAATGTTCAAGGAAACCTTGAACGACAACAACACTCTAAATCGAGATTTACGCGCCAAGGTAAAACTGCTGTTAGCAGTGTTCTAAATGTGTTGACGGTAATCTCAAATGTCGAAACTTATCGTTTACACAGGTTTATACGACCTTAAGGCAACAAGCATTGAAACCGCATATTCAAGAGATGCGCGAGTTATTCGAGAACTATAGGAGTACTACGCTGCATTACAAGTCAGTTACTTGAAAAAAAAACCTATGCTTGAACACAAACATTTTCCAAATTTTAGCTCGGAGCAATTGGAGTTTTTCCCCGTGATCGGAGTCATTGCCTTTGGAGTAGGCATTGGATTAGGAAAATTCGTGTATGATAGTGTGCCAAGCCTATTGCACCGATTTACAGAGGAGGAACAGCAACAAAGTGTACGTGATTTGGTTATTTATTTGCTACTCTAGTCAAATGCATATTTTCAGAAAATAGCAGAGAATCTTCCAGCGATTAGAACAAAGTTACACAATTTGGCAGAGATATTGGAATTGCAGACTAGTATGTAAGTCGAAGTTGAATAAGAAGTTTTATATATTCGCGAACGTATATCATCAAATGTATGCAAGGTAGAAATCATTATATAGCCATTATTTTCTAGAAATCGGTTCAACTTCGTGTTCTCCCATGTCAGGACCCAGCTCAGTTTGGCCGTGGAGAGTGCTCTCACAGAGCTATTCGATCGTGGCAGTGTCTCAAACCGACTTATCAAACATCGCGGTGAAAACAACCTACTGTCCACCATCGCAAAGCTTATGGGTGAAAAACGTTTCAACGCGTCGATGTTAAAGAAGAGGTACTTTGCTGCTGGCCAAAGCTCAAAAGCTACTGTACTTTCTATGAACAAGCACGTAATGGTAGTAAAGGCAAGTAGTAATCGTTAAATTTATGTGAAAACGAAATATAAGCGCACATTTTTAGATCTGCTACCCAACTACAAGAGAAGAAGATCTGGGATATTTGATGCGCGTAGTAGCCCTAGGAAAGTTTAGTGAAGACGGTGCAGTGCATGCGACTCATGTATTGAGCACATATTATATCGTGCATTTGTCGATGAAAGTCAGCAATGTTAGTATGCTGGCAGAAGTGGGAGATATCGATGCTGATTGCACCGAAATATCGTCGACACTCTTTTGTAAGACAAGACTACAAAGGGAGTCATGCGCTTTAGACCGTAACAAACGACATGGCTGTGCTGTATCAAAACGGAACTTTGGCGATGAAATGGTAAGAGCTTTTGAACGGTAACTTTTAACTTTTTATACGCTATACAAACATCTTAGTTTACACATGTGGAGCCACTGTTGAGGACCACAGTGATAGCTACCCGAAGGAAGAGGATGCTTTATAAGAAAACGGATGAAAGCAAATGGAATGAAGTTGCAGTCCTTCAACCTGTCACTGTTGTGGAGATACCAAACGGGGCGCTACTTCAATTAGGGCCGATAGAGGTGACGGCACGGGTTGCAACAGGGAACATGACTTTAGAACTGAATATTATACTACCGGTAAGTGAAAATCAGTTATGCAGATTGCATTTAATATTAGTGGTTTTAGTCATCAAACTCTTCGTTAGAGCCATATGATGAAAGCTATGACGGCTACATCTCCAAGCCTCATGGCTACAAGGAATGCTATGCATGGAATTTTTGCATTGATCGATTTTTTTGGCTGTTTGATGTTCGGACTGTCTTTGATTATATTCAATCAACAACGTCAGTTGAGATCGCTCAGGCGATGGACACGTCGAATCGCTGAAGCGTCGAATCGCTCAGAAAAGCTCGAAGGGAGCCTATTGAAATTGTTCCCATTTAATCTCGATCGCATAATAAATAAAGATGCATAGCTTTTTAGAAAATAGAGGAAGTAAAAATCTTCCATGTACAATATCATAGTGTTATAAACACTTATATTTAAACACTTACAACACTCATATATTTTCATCCTTTCAAATGTCTAATTACAAGCGCATTTGTGATTGTTTTTCAATTCGTACTATTCAAAAGTTATAGAACTTGCAGTTTGATGAATTTTTTTACCAAGATACCAGAAAATGGCTGAGCGTATCCGAAGAACGAAAAAATATGACAAAATTGTTAGAATTGACGACGCAGCAAGAGAAAATGAAAGACTGAAGGCATTCAGACAATCACAGGCTCTCAGCCGGCAGCCACAAAGCCACCGCGAAAACCCACCAAAAGTGCGGTGGCCTCATCGCCTCACTGTCGCTTCCCGCTGAGAACCGTGTCAGAACTGGGAGCGAGCGGGCTGCTATAAAGCCTTCAGCGCGAAACGAAACCGCCGCTTTCGCTTCGCGCTGAAGGCTTTATAGCAGCTCGCTCGCTGCCAGTTCTGACACGGTTCTCAGCGGGAAGCGACAGTGAGGCGATGAGGCCACCGCGCTTTTGGTGGGTTTTCGCGGTGGCTTTGTGGCTGCCGGCTGAGAGCCTGTGATTGTCTGAGCAGAACATATTATCAAATTTTTTCCGGAGCATATGCCTGAAGGTCAGTTGCCTCAATTGTCAAGCATTAAACGATGTAATAATACATAATTATAGAAATGTTCTATCCAAAACATACCAGCGAAGCCGCACACTTCTGTGTCGTTTGTGGAAAACATGGAGAATATCGCATGAGTGAACATCTACTAAGAGCACATAGTGACGTTCTTCAAAAGGATTCGATAAATTTCAAGGTTAGTTCATCCAAGCTTCATGGCAATAATACGTTTACTACAAAGTACGCCACTGATCAGAGCAAGATTTATTTCAAAATGCAGATTGTCGAGCAGCTAGGACGCGGTATCACTCAGTACATGGGTGTAGCACGAATAGATCTGAGGCTTGTACGTAAGCCAGTAACGTACGGAAAATTGTGCATCTACCGCGATCTTACACGGCAGATCAAAAATTTTGGCATACCCATTGTAGGGGTAAGTTGATTTGATGCGTTATTGTGATACTCGAAGCAATTGAATAATTAACTAAAGTCTTTGATTTCAGGAATATAAAGGTCAGATCAGCCGAGACAGGTATGTGACTCGTGCCGAAATGAACGTGGAGATCCAAGGATTGGAAGAACGCTTCAGAGTAGGATTTACAAACAAGTAGATTCGAAACTATATCAACTTATTAATGAATGCGGTTTCGTCATAAGTGCCAGTATGATAAGCCATTATAATCTATCAATGATCCTATGCAATAGTTGATGCGTTTTCAATTTTCTCGCATTCCCATGAAAAAAGTTGGAAATTACTTCAGTTAAAAAAACCCAAAGAATCGTCAATTTTCAAACCCTTGTCTCTACGCTCGTACTCTCCTCATTACTCAGGCTCCTACAGAAGAAGAACGTGAGCTAGAAGAAGAGAGTAGTCCGGTAGTTGTTGAGCCGCACCAGTCCTAGAGGAGCAAATTGAAGTAGTGGGACCGTCCATATCACAAGCAACAGCTTTGGAGGCGTTTACACCTACACCACAAAGGCACCGACTATACGGTGGATCTCAAGTGGCAGAAGTGTTCGAGGCTCCGCCTAATCTCGATCTTATGTTTTCTTATGAGTTGGATGAACAAGCAGTACCAGATTATTACGTAGAAGAATATACTGTTCCAGTAAAGCGCAAGCACAGTAAGCAGTAACTTAGTCATGATATACTTACAATAACCATTTTGTCACCGTATTTCAACATTAAAGAATGGCAAGGGAATGTGGATGCTGGAATAAATTACTATCGTAAACTGAATGGAAGAGCGCATCCACTGCTGAAAGAGTTTGAAGAGTACATTTCTGAAGAGTTGGTAAGATCTCAAGATTCTCTGTGTTTCCGCGACGTAAACACCGTTTAACATGTTTACTCCAACTGCTGTTTAGCCTGATACATCTGCGAGAAAAGGCAATCCACTGAAGAATGGAACTTGGGGCTACATCTCCTGTATAAATCGATTTATGCTTGTAGCTATGAGGGCGCGACAACGGTATGTCATGTGCTACACTACAATTGAAAATCTTGTAGCTTTTGAATTACAGAATAAACGAAACAGTAACAATCGACGACGCGAATCTATTCATGCGAAATTGTACAAGCGTATATGAGGCGTTTGAAGGCAGAAGCAGGGCTCGGCACGAGGTGGCTAGTTGAAAATGCAAAAAACGAAGTCCCCCTTGACTTTTGCAAATTTTTACGAAGTCCCCTTTGACCCTAGACCAGGGCTCGGCACGAGGTGGCGTCCCGAAATTGCAAAAAAATGAAGCCCCTATGACTTTAATGAAATTACGACATCCGCCACGAGATATTCGAAGAGAAGATACATGAAAAGGTCATCGAACACACGCGATGATATTCATATTTTCCGGATTGGCGGCATGATGTATCCATCGTCCAGCAATACGCGCCTAGAGCAGCCTTTCCGCGGCCGTTTAAAATTTTCAAGGGGCTATAACCAGGGTTGAGCAAGAGGTCAGGCACAAGTCCTTCAAAAACGACCCCCCCCCCCCTGAGAAAGCCCCTAAACGACCCTCCGATTCACCTCCAAGTCCTCAGGGATTTTGAAGAAGAGCAGCTTTCACTGCAGGTTTCTATTTTTTGAAAGTCTGTAGGCCCGACTTTCTGCGATTGCACAACCACACGCAACTTGACGGCAAGTTTTAGATCTGGATAGTCCTCTTTTCAGAGCTATAATTTTCACAGGGGTGGAGTGTTTGGCTCCAAATTTTCAGTATGGCAAGAAGAGGCTTTGGTTTCAATACCCATATCAAAAAAGGGGCAATTATTGAATTTTGAAGGCAAATTAAGAGGGTCAGGCGCAACCCCTCAAAAGCTCAGGCGGCCTGACCTTTTGAGGGGTTGCGCCTGACCCCATTAACTTTATTTTCGAAAAAGCTTTTCTACCCAAGTTTTATATGATTCGCTAGCACACCCCTCGAAGATTCCACAATAAGGGGTGCGGGAATTTATCTACCCAGAGAGGCATGCCGCCATGTAATTAGCAGAGGACATGAGAGGTCATGAACTGTCAGCAAAGCTAATTTTCACCCAATTTGCACCGAAGACAGACAGATTTTGCTCACGACAGATACGACATCATCCTACAGTGTACGGAACCGGGATTTCATTGAAATTTGAATTAAAAGTTCAGTAGTGAAATTAGTCTAACTAGGGTAAAAAATTGTATTCAGGGGTAATCCGCCATGCTGGTTCCAAATATGATGGTGGTTTTGCGTGAAAACTCAAAAAATCTTTCTTTTTGATTTTAATCTTGTTTTCAAAATCTTAAAATTGTCATTTGAGGGTTTCCCCGATGCTGTTTTCGAATATGCTAATGTTTTCGCTGGAAACTTCAAGCACTTTTTCTTTTGAAACCACTGCAACTTTGATAAAACTGGAAAACGAATGAAAAAAATGCTACTTTCAGAAAGACTAGAAAAAATGGTATAAATGCTATGAATGCTTCCAGAACTTGATTTGGAAAGATTTGAGGATTTTGTACTAAACCGTTATCATATTCGTAAAGAGCGCCCTTAGAAGCCCCCAAATCCAAGTTTTTATTCTGATTTGCCAAATATCACCACTGAACATTGATTTTATTCCCATCGCGAAGCTCGGTTTCATTTTCACGCAAAAACACCATCATATTTGGAACCAGCATGGCAGATTACCCCCAAATACAAATTTTTACCCTAAGTGGACTAATTTTACTACTGAACTTTGAATTCAAATTTCAATGAAATCCCGGTTTCGTACACTGTAGGATGATGTCGTATCTGTCGTGAGCAAAATCTGCTTGTGTTCGGTGCAAATTGGGTGCAAATTAGCGTTGCTGACAGTTCATGACCTCTCATGTCCCCTGCTAACTACATGGCGGCATAGCTCTCTGGGTAGATAAGTTCCGTTTCCCCACAATAAGTGTTTGAGCTTGATTCGACTTGTTTCGGCCTTGTGCTAATCCGAGGAGTTGAAGCACTCAACGTGAAAAACGCGCCGGCTGGAATTTTGGCAGCACTTCTTACTTACTTCATTGTTTGAAAGCGGTATGAAGTCCGATTTGTGGCATAGATTTGTAGAGAACATTACTTTGTTATGAGTATACAAAAGCTGACTTTTCTCACTTCTAAAACCAAATTGATCACGTTTGAAAATCACGCTTTTTAGACGTTGAGAAACAGTAGGAACTGCAGTAAGTAATGGTTTGTAGAGCGCATAGAGGTAATTTGACATGCTGATTATGGAAATGATACCCATTTCACACAGAAAGCTTCCTTGTCGACCTCATATGTCAAGGTAAAAGAGATGGAGATTTGAATTTGGCTGAAACTTCCATTGTGGAAACAATCAATATGCTGTTTATGACCGTCATTCCTTCATGTGATCGCGATGTCCACCGGACTAGCGCATTTCTTCTTCACCTTCGCAGTATCTCCCCAAATTAACAAATTCGATTCTTAATTACGACCTCCCCCCCTCACTCTTACGCTCAATACGATCCCCCAGGTCGGGCGCGCCTGACCCCACGCTCAACCCTGGCTATAACTGAGCGGGGAGAAGGGGGTTTGAGGCGGTTTAGGAACCAGTTTGTAGGGTTTGGGATGTAGATGAAAAGTATGTAAAGAAAGTAGAAAAATTATGTGAGGGAGGAAAAATTTATGACTTTTTCTTTCCTAAGCCACCTCAGGTGGCTATCCAGGTGGCTTGAAAGCCACCTAACTCCGAAAAAAGTTTAGCACGCCTTTAGTTCACATAATTTTTTCATAATTTTTCATACTTAGTCCTAACTCCCCATTGACCATCTACACACCTATTTTGGTTTCATTTCATCTTCACTTCGCTGTAAACAAACCCTTTGTTTATTTGCTGGCGGCATGCCGGCAGCGTGCCGGCCGCAGATCGAAAGACAACGTCATGCTCTTCCGCAAAAACGATATCCCCTTTGTTTTTTCCCCAAAAACGATATCCAGCTTGCTTGCTAAGCCACCTGTGCCGTGCCCTGGGCGGAAGGAGTCAGTGTGGGTTGTCGGAAAAGCATAATCAAAGCTCTTATTGCGTTCAGTAAGTTTATCGAGCAAGGACTTGAAGCAAGTGAGTGATTACATTCTATGTAATTAAATCTTAGCGCATTTCGTAATCGGTTTTTCACAAAAATATACCGCTTTTAGGAGCAGGCCGTGAACGTCTTGAGGTTTTGGAACGTGGAAGGAAAAAGTGTCTAAATTACGCTAAGCTGAATATTGAGGAAAAGCGAGCATCATCATTTCAGGGTATTGTACCCAGCGAAAAGCAGCTAGGTTGAGTTGCGTAAATTCCTGAGTATTTCACTTTTTCACTTTCACTTTTCACTTATTTTATTCAGAAAGGTGAGCTCTATTGTGTTGCAAGAGCTGTTGTTGAACATAAAGGAGTGGAAGAAAGCATCGAAAAGGATGAAGATTTTTAGACGAAAGGGTGTATTGCAACCAGCCCAGTATCATGACTTATAATAAGCGGCTTAATATGAAGTTGTGTGGAGTTTGTCCGTTACGAAATTACAGTGAGGAATGATTTACGATACTAACATCATGTGAGGTTAAGATAGCGAGTATGGTTCATTTTTAACTGCGGCTCACGTTGCAATAAACCGAACAATGATTTGAAAGACAAGCTCTCAGAAAGTGAGTTTACCACGGTTCACGATGCCAGTGCGAACCTCTGCGAAGCAGAGGTGAAGCACTGGTCTGGTAACTATATAATGGGGATTGTCTTATAGCACTTATTTTGCATAGTGCTTGATTCTCGTGTAACAGTGATTTTAGAGCATTCTGGTGCTACATCATTCATTGCAACACAAGCAGGAATGAGTGTATACCGTGCTGGCCAAAACTATAGATCCACTCTAAAAACTGCCGTAGTTCATCTGCTTCTCAACGAATTGATCTGACATTTGGTACAGCTGTGTGTTCAACAGGCTTCCATCAGTGACCGGAGCGGATCCCGCTTTCGTAAAATTATGCAGGAAAAAATCAAAAATTTCGAAAAAAGCAGGCTTGAAGGTTGGCCAAAACTATAGATCCACCTAAAATTTCTTTCTGCTAAAGTAACTCTAGGCTTCCAAAGTCTTTTGTGCATACATAGTCGAAAGTCAAAGCAGTGGTTTTAGTCCAGCTGTGTCATACCTTTATGAGAAACGCCTAGCTGCTTTTTCACTTAACACGTTGACGACAGTGCCGCGCAATGGTGCGCGGCAGGCAGTCTGTCCCTGTGGACGACGCCGCGCAATGGTGCGCGGCGGCCTTATTTTCAATACTATCTGTCCAATCCTCTCAGTTTTTGTTCATATAATCAACATAGGCTCAGATACACTTCATGTATTAGCTCCGCCCCTTTTGGCAAACTCCGCCCACTCCTATGCCTCCCACAAGAGCCATTTTTGTTCATGAAAAGCATGGATGAGGCCGTAAATGAACGCAAAGACCTCAAACAACTATCAGCCAGGCCCCGCACACCTTCAGGCAAGCTCCGCCCCCTAAGTGGCAAGCTCCGCCCCCTGAGTGGCAAGCCCCGCCCACTTTTCAAAAATGCCGGAATTTGCACGATTTCATTGATTTTGAGCAATTTCCAGCATTTTTGAAAAGTGGGCGGGGCTTGCCAAAAGTGGGCGGAGCCGCCTGCATTTTTGTATCTCACGCATAGATGCATGCATATATACATGCAGCCAGCTGTGAAAGTGCCGGGAAACGGTTCGTCCACAGGGACAGACCTTCAAAAAATGGCTCGTCGTCAACGTGTTAAAAAATACTTTTATGCGCATTTTGTTAAGCATTAAGCTCAGAATGATGTAGAAGCATTATTTAGCATTTTTACATAAAAAGATGTTTGTAAACTGCAGTCACGATTGTTTGCGAACTCACATTTCAATTCTTTTTTAAAGCATGAGTCTTGCGGTGTGTTCGGGAAACTCGAAGTGCTTACCAAGTGGTACCTTCCTCGAATTTTGCCACTCTTTAGCTGCTAACTAGTGAATACACCCTGCTTTGTATGTTGCTTTGTGACTCATATGAGCATTATGGTCAGAACTAGAAATAACTTCAAGGCTTGTTGCAAATCCTTTTTGCAGAATGAAGTCTTCAATTAGCCTGAATACTAGGAACTGCAGAAACCTGCAACCACTGCATACGGACTCTCATACATACTAACGATGTCATCACTCCAATTCACGCTCATGACAACATTGCAGAAAGAGTTCAAAGTCATTAATTTGAATGCAGGCCTGCGGTTAGGTTTATATCGGGAGCGCATCGGATGCGAAAACTCGAACTTTTTTCTACTGCTTGAACTGCCAAGCATCTATAAGATAGATGGAGCCCTATCACTTCCAAACAAGTCAAAAAACTACGAAATTACTTATAAAAACACATTCTCGGGAACAAAATACGCATAAAAGTATTCTTTAAGTAAATAAAGCAGATAAGCGTTTCTTATAAAGGTATGACACAGCTGGACTAAAGCCACTGCTTTGACTTTCGACTATGTATATGAACAAAAGACTTTGGAAGCCGAGAATCACTTTAGCAGACAGAAATTTCAGGTGGATCTATAGTTTTACCAACTTTTGAGCCTCCTTTTTTTGGAAATTTTTGATTATTTCCTGAATAATTTAACGAAAGCGGGATTTGCTCTGGTCACTGATGAAAGCCTGTTGAACACACAGCTGTACCAAATCTCAGATCAATTCGTTGAGAAGCAGATGAACTACGGCAGTTTTTAGAGTGGATCTATAGTTTTGGCCAGCACTGTATATAAAATGGTGTACGGTAGTATTTACCCGTCTGACCAAGAAGAGGCCATTCCTGCTGCAGAACGTACAGGGCTGCAACCTTTTTCATTGCGCTATGGCGATGGGGAGGAGATATTATGGGTAAGCGAAGCTTATATTGTTTGCTATATCCATAGTCAAAAGGTATTTTAGATTGGCAGCTATCCTACACCAGAGGGTGGAACTAAGGCTGCACAATATAAGCAACCATATTATGGTCAATATTCCGTGCTAGATGCAAAGTCGAAAAAATGGCTGACGTACTATACAAAATTGCGAGATTTGTAAGACATAAGAAATACGCTTTCTCTTATTATCAAAGTTTTGCATAAATAGTGTGATTGCGAAGAATAAGCTCCAAGGAATGAAAGAACCACTTGCTCCCTTTTTCCTTCAGTAAAGAGGAAAACGCGTTCACCAAGTGACTGTCCCGCATATAATGAAACAGTTCTTGCGGGACAGTGGATTTGGAAATTAAATCTCTCTTGTAACGTGGTACGTTTTTTAAACGATTGCCGCCCTAAAGTCTAAATTATTATTTGCTTTAGTCAAGGCACGCTATAGCAGACTTGCAATACGATGACGCTTTTCAACGAAGGTTGGACAAATTGCTAGGATCAGATAAAGACTGTGCAAACACGGCAGGTACGTGAAAGTAGCGCTTTGCTAGCACAAGTTGCATTGCATTCAGTGATCTATTTTTCAATAGGTCACACACAAGAGGTGCAGGCAGCAAACTACGTTACACAAAACAAGCAAAGTTGCGCTTAAAGGCAGTGTCCAGGCTAAACCTAACCCCCTCCGATTAGTGTCGATCCTGAAAGTAGGCCCCAGAAAAGGGGCATCTGCGTTGGTCCGGTCTTCTAACATTGTCTCCGAATGGAGATAAGGGGCCTGAAACTCCCTGGCTGGGCGGGGTCTGATATCAGACTCCGCCCACCAGGGACTGCTCACTACCTTGTCAATACGTGCCTCCCGACACGTATTGACAAGGTAGTGAGCAGAAGTTGCACACTGCACACTGCAATGCAACTGCACCCATGCAGTTGCAGCTCCTTCCCGCTGGCCTGCCGACGGGGACGAGCAATTCGAAACTCGTCCGCGCCCTCAAAACTGGGTCCCCAAAAATTGGGTTTTTTTGTGAATTTTAGAGAGTTTGAAGTTCGGAACCGTAATCAGGGCCACGGAAAGGCCCCAGAATGAAGAAAACATGGGGGGCCAAATTCTGGGTGGACGCTGCCTTTAAGGATGTATAAAGGTGCGCTTATTAGGAGAAGAGGAAGCGGCCAGGAACCGCGAACGAGTGCGGGAAGTGAAAAGGATGTTCAAGCTTGCAAAGTAAACAATTTTATAAGCTCTTCGTTATTATCACACTGTGTTGATCGATTTAATTCAGTTTGGAACGACGTAAACACTTAGCCGATCTAGAAGAAGAGGATTTAGAAATGGATGACTACGATGAGGTACCAGTCGACAAAAATGTGGGCGAAGAGGGAAGAGGAGAAGGAGATGATGATGACGAGGAGGGAGAGGATGATGGAGACGACGAAAATGAAGGAAATGACGGAAACGACGTGCCAGGCCTTTTTCTCGTTCTGGTACTTTTCATACATTTTTATCATCCGCTCCTGCATGAAGCTTTGCAATAACTATACAAATATATATATATGTATTTTTCAAACTTCAGATATGATTCGACGACGATTACAACGTCGAACGGAAGTTGAGGAAACGCCAAGAAAACGCCAGAGTGTCGTCCCCGGTGAAAGCGGGTAAGACACTTGTGTCATAAAAATTTGATTCTACCTCACACTATGCATGTAGATACGACTAAAGATTCGAGCTTAACTTAGGAGGAGATTGTTATGGAACAAGGTGACATAGGAGCGCTAGAGCACCGCAAGCATCAGCGTTGGAGTCACAAGCATCGTCGCCTTTACCACTCAAACAGTTTGAGCAACATCCGATAAGCAGCAGTAGTGGTGATGGAACGTCAGTACAACATATTGACATTGTCGATGAACAGGAAGCAGTCGAAAAAATTCCAGTGTATAAGCTAATATTTTATTTCAAAAGACAGAAATCAGAAGCTTGCGCAGCAAATGCAGAACTCATATTGAGGGACTCGATAACAATGGCTGTACGTAGAAGAGTGCATGTCGTCCGTAAATCAGCTGTTCCCGCCTTACTTGCCGATCTTGAGAAGCGGTTTGGGCCCATGGATCCGAGCCGGCACTTACAGCTTCTCAATATTACATCTTATACGGGTGGATTGACAAAAGTCGAGAACGTTTGGCAGCTAAGCAATTTTAAACATAGATGTCATGCACAGCCTGTACAGGTGGGTATCTCAAAAATCAAAGCGGTTGTTGTAATTGTCAACATATTTAAGGACTTTCCATGGCTGGAAGTCAGAGAAATGCCTACGATCAAAGGACGAGGTGTTTTCGCTAAGGTAGACATCGCTAAAGGAATGGCTGTTGCTGATTAACGGTAAGAAATCCTTTCCTCTATTTTTGAATTCACTCAAAGTAGGGCCTTAGTGTATGATGAGATGAAAAAGCTAAATAATAGTGTTAGTGCTTGTGTTTAGTGGTTACCGTGGATTGTCGGAAGACGTTTTGAAGCCTTACAATAAGGAACTTGATGAAGAGCAACGCCAAAAAGTTGCCAAATATTGGATGGGAGTGGGAGGAAGCGATTGCAATTACATCGTACTTGCTCACTGCGACTCGTATAAAGCGGCAGTAACGCTTGGGCGGCTCATAAACCAATCAATTGAGCACGCCAACCTAAATATGAAGTGCATGTACCTTGGTAAACGCCGAGTTCGATGGGCGCATTGTTTGATAGTCGCGATATTCAGGTAACTTTAAGCAAATGCATTTCATGCATGTTGAAAATTTTGCACAATGCACATTTTACAGAATGGTGAACAGTTATTGTGGAACTACAATACCGCTCACAAAGTATGCAAAATTTCCGTGAATACCGCGAAATTCCGAAAATTCCGCGAAATTCCTGGAATTTCGCGAAACTTCGCGAAATTCCGGAAAGTTCGCGGAATTTTCGGAATTCCGCGACATTTTCGGAATTTCGCGACATTTACGGAAAATTTGCACATTCTGTGAGCGGTATTGTATGTGCATTTCCTTCCACTCACTCCATATACAATACCGATCATAATTCGTCAAAAAAGTCGCCGGAGTGCGGCGCACTCCGCCGCACTCCGCCGCACTCCGTCACACTCCGACGCACTCTAGCGCACTCCGCCGCAGTCCGGCGACTTTTTTGACGAATTATGAGCGGTATTGTATGTAGAGCAGTCTGTTATATCCCCCTTGTTCTTCCACACTGGTATCGTTGCGCTCTTGTAACAATCGTTGGGCATCTTCTTGCATTCTACAATACCATTCACATAACTTGCAAAATTTCCGTGAATGTCGCGAAATTCCGAAAATTCCGCGAACTTTCCGGAATTTCGCGAAACTCCTGAAAGTTCGCGACGTTTCGCGAAATTCCGGGAATTTCGCGGAATTTTCGGAATTTTGCGATATTCAGGGAAATTTTGCACATTCTGTGAGCGGTATTGTATGCTGTAAGGGAAAGAGATCCAAGCAAGCCCAATTCTCCGAAAAATTTTCCGTGCATCTGTCACGTATGCGATCCGGCTGCAGCAGAAGGTGAATATTCCGTTATTTATATATTTTATTCCATTAATAATTTTTGTATGCACACTAATCCACACAGCTTCGTCTTCATTTCCACAACCGGCAAGACAAAGCATCCATGTCCAAAGAGTGTGGAATTTTAAGCGGCCTCTCTCAGAAGAGGATCTCAACTTACATGAAAGGCCTGAATTCGACATTGGATAACCTCTATTTTTGGTTACACAGAAAGCGCGCGCAGTAGGTAGTTGCTGGAAAGTACTCCTATTGCCGATCCAAGAGTAGCATTTGCAAGGAGCAGGCGTACCGTTTTCAGTAATAGTGTGAGTATGCACTTTCACTCGGGGTTGGATATAAAATTACATCGATGTATTCAGGATGTGTTTCCGGACCCTGCCATGTTCTTGGTAAAGGTCGCGTCTCCCTTGGCACAGTTGCTACAAATAGCGACGGAAGCTGCTTTTAAGCGCATGGAATCGGTTGTTCTTATTCTGTACCAAAAGCGAAATGATCCACAACCGCTAGTTATCCTGTTAGGCGCACGCCATCTTGATGAAAGCGGATCGTTATGATTGCTGCGTAGCCGTCGTACTCAGATAACCGCCGGGGGCAGGCGGCCATGCGAATTTTGAGCAAGCGCGCACCGGAAAAATAGTTCGTTGATTTTTTGCCGCCCGCTTGCAGAAATTTGGAAGAAAGTTGGCGAAATTAAAGACGAATGCTTGAAGAACAATCGGGGTTTCTTTGTGGATTAGCTGCGGCGCAGTGGCCGCATTCTCGCGGACTTTTCGCAAGAATATGCAAAAATTTCGGGGGCCGCGCGGTCCTTTGTGGAGGACCGCGCAACCCCCAGGTACTTTCCGCTGGGAGAAAGTACCTCAAACTTGAGTAATTAAACCAACGGTGACACCTCTGCCACACAGAGTCTTACCTGCGCTCGACGTACGCCCGAAAATGCCTAAAAAGAGTCCAAGCGCTTGCTGAAAGTTTGGCCAGCGCTCGCTGAAAGAAATTATTTGCCGAGCGCTTGCAAAAAATGCTGTATTGCTGACCGCTGGCAGAATATGCGACCGTAAAGGAAGTGCCGCCCGCTGGAGGTTTGGCCACGCCCCAAAATTCTGCTGACCGCCTGCAGAAAAGCGCGAGTTTGCGGACCGCCTGCCCCGGCGATTATCTGAGTAGGCGACGAAATTTACGCAGTGGTATGTTGGATTGTATGCATAGTTTGCGAAGGACTTCTGTATATTATTTACGCTTGTAGGAACGTCAGGTGGAAGCCAGAGCGGATGAAATGCCGTTGCACTTGAAGCTACTAGCAGCTGGTCCACTTACTCATCACTTTCCATTGCCAACAATAGAGCCGTGGAATACGATACCGTAAGTCTAAACTTACACATCAACAAATCATGCATCTCTTGCAAGATGGATAATAAGTACGTGTACCTTGCAACCTCAGTATTGAATCCTTGTTTGTATCATGCAGCAGTCTCCCAGTTTGTATCATATACATAGCTGTCTCTAGTGTACCAAACTGCATCTCACTTTCATACCTACCTCATCTTGTCTCATATCAAGCTTCGGGTTGGAATTGAAATCTTTTATTGCAATATGCAGTTCAAACAACAAATAATAAACTTTTCAGCACATTTCGTCTGATCTCATATCAAGCTTCGGGTTGGAATTGAAATCTTTTATTGCAATATGCAGTTCAAACAACAAATAATAAACTTTTCAGCACATTTCGTCTTATCTACATGCGGTAAAGCTTGCACTTCATCCAAAAATGCAGCATATCAAAAGTAGTAACATCGGTCATCGGTGCAGTATCATAAAACTCAAACAACGTTATGCAAATTCGCGACGCAGAAACCCTTCGAAGGCCTTACTTACTGAAACTTAGTTCCAAAACCTGTTTCACACTATCAATCCCTTTCAAACATTCGGAACGCCTTTCGGAACGGAAAAGTTTCTAAACGCCCGTAATCATTCGGGTGTTAAAACCCCCATTTTACTCTTTTACAAAAAATTCTATATGTCTTAATTTAGACTTGGTAACTCTTAAACCGTTTTACCTTAGCTCCCCGACGCTCATCTACGAGTACGCGGGCATCAACTGGGTATCGCGTGGAGGTTAGCCATTGAGACGCGAATGGCAAACTTTTCTTATTTTGGAAGCGTCTCTGTAAAGGGTTTTTGAGACATTGCCCACCTGTCTCTCCTCTTTTTCTGTGAAATAACATTCCCAGCGCAAGCGGAACTTTATAGCGAAAACTGGTTGCGAAGATACAATCAAGGAAAAAGGCTTCGATTGCTGTTTAATAATGTGATTCCGAGATGAGTAGTGCAAAGTTTCTGATTGCTTAGAAGCCGCGATTTTAAGTGCGACGCTACTGGTCACAAGCAAACATTGCTCTTTTACACATATAAAGTGAAAGTTTCAATTGCAAAGCAGAAGGGGTTGCGTGTTTGCACTGGAAAAGATTTTCCAAACTTTTGCACAGTTTTAGCTGCATAAAACTGAGAACAACCACTCAGATAACCGCCGGGGGCAGGCGGCCATGCGATTTATGGGCGGGCGCGCACCGGAAAAATAGTTCGTTGATTTTTTGCCGCCCGCTTGCAGAAATTTGGAGGAAAGTTGGCGAAATTAAAGACGAATGCTTGAAGAACAATCGCGGTTTCTTTATGGATTAGCTGCGGCGCAGTGGTCGCATTCTCGCGGACTTTCCGCGAGAATATGCAAAAATTTCGGGGGCCGCACGGTCCTTTGTGGAGGATTGCGCAACCCCCAGGTACTTTTCGCTGGGAGAAAGTACCTCAAACTTGAGTAATTAAACCAACGGTGACACCTCTGCCACACAGAGTCTTACCTGCGCTCGACGTACGCCCGAAAATGCTTAAAAAGAGTCCGAGCGCTTGCTGAAAGTTTGGCCAGCGCTCGCTGAAAGAAATTATTTGCCGAGCGCTTGCAAAAAATGCTGTATTGCTGCCCGCTGGCAGATTATGCGACTGTAAAGGAAGTGCCGCCCGCTGAAGGTTTGGCCACGCCCCAAAATTCTGCTGACCGCCTGTAGAAAAGCGCGAGTTTGCGGACCGCCTGCCCCCGGCGATTATCTGAGCATTAAGCGAATGTTGAATACATTTCAGAGTTCAAGTCACACACGGTAACCCAGGATCAGTACACAAAATGGGACTAATTCTTACACAGAAATCTATCAATGCATTCTTGATCATATATGGAATATATTAGGTCGGTGCAAAAGTTTTGTCAGTTTTTTCAATCCATCGGCAATCACGCTAGAATGAAGATAAACAAAGACTTCAAAATGCACCCGATGTAGAATTTCTTCCTCTTTCCAGCTGCTAAACTCCCATTGTGTTTCGTTGCGAGAGTGACGAGATATTTGCTGCAAATTACAACCATTCGTTTTTACCATGTCCAAGTTTCGCTATTTTCCAAAATTTTTGTTTGAGACTTTCAAAGAAGCCCTTACAACCAGCAGATAGGGCAAACCTTTTGCAAGCAGAAACAATTTTTTGTAGCCCTAAAGCTTGTCTTTCAGAATTTCTACGATTTATTTTTTGAAGTGACCAAATTATACATTCAGCCTATTTTGATCTCGTAGAACATAAAGTGTTAAACACTTCAGTCACCATTCGATGCAGATTTTTCTCCTCTTTCTAACACTTGTCTTTTTTTGCCGAGACAGGAGAAATTTGTGGGAAAAATCGCGATATTTCTCAATCTCAGGAGTGCGCACAGGTGTAACCTATGTTTCAAAATCTTCATAATTTAAAGCGAAAATCGCTCATTTGATTTGTA